CAGGCTGGGGTGTAGTGGCACCATCTCGGCTCACTGCAACCTCTGCCTCCCAGGTTCAAGCCATCCTCTCACCTCAGCCTCCCAGGTAGCTGGGATTACAGGCATGCATCACTATGCCAGGCTAATTTTTGTATGTTTAGTAGAGATGGGGTTTCTCCATGTTGGCCAAGCTGGTCTTGAACTGCTGACCTCAAGTGATCCAGCCACCTCAGTCTCCCAAAGTGCTGGGATTACAGGCGTGAACCACTGTGCCCAGCCTCCAATTTTTTTTTTTAATTAACCAGATATGGTGGCATGTGCCTGCAGCCCCAACTACTCTGGAGGCTGAAGCAGGAGGATTGTTTGAGCCCAGGAGTTTGAGGCTGCAGTGAGCTATGATGGATGAATCTCAGAGTTGAGTGAAAGAAGCAAGAGTTCAAACTGTGACTGCTCTTATAAAGTTCAAAAACCAGTAAAAGTAACCTATATTGTTAGAAATGAGTAATTACCTTGAAGGAAGGGGAGACGGTGACTGAGAGAGGAAGGAGGGAGCTTTGGGATGCTGATAATTGTCTGTTTCTTGATAAGGGCAATGGGTACCCAGTATGTGCTTTGTGATATTCAAAAAAACAGGGCTGGGCATGGTGGCTCACACCTGTAATCTCAGCACTTTGGGAGGCTGAGGCAGGAGGATCACTTGAGCCCAGGAAATTGAGGATGCAGTGAGCTATGATTGCACCACTGTATTTCGGCTTGGGAAAGAGAGCGAGACCCTGTCTCTAAAAACAAATAAACAAAAACACATTAAATGATTTATGCACTTCTACATGTGTTATTCTTCAATGAAAAAGTTTAAAAGATTACTGTAAGAATGTCAGGTGAAATAAAACTTACGGCAAAAAGCATTAATAGAGACAGGGGAGTTATATTTAATAATAAAAGAATCGAGCAACTCACTCCCTCTTGGGCAGTATCTTATTCTGATTTTACTTCTCTATTGTGTTCTTTAATTCAGCCACTATGGTGTCCATTTCTAGGATTTATGGGTGTCTTTTTCCAAGTTTGTGTCTTAAGGAGTTATGTGACTTTATCTCTGAACATTTTAAACAAAGTCTTTTCAGAAACAGCACTATCACCACTAGTTCATTGATGGCAAACCCTCCAGTGTATTCCTTCTGTTTTTATGCCATTTTATTTCTTCATGTGCTCAGTAATTTTTACTTACAAGTTCATTTTCATTGAGATTCATCTTCCTTAGAAGCCCTGTAAGTCTTGAGTTGCTGCGGCAACCTTGTTGTGGATTGCTTTAGTGTTTGCTTCTGCCAAGGCCTTACAGGATTCACAACTGTTTGTTTCTGGACTTGGGGCTTGCATTCATGGGGGGCTAAGTTTTCTACTCATGGTCTGGGGGCCTCATCCTGTACCGAGCTGCTTCACACTCACCCCAGGCATCCCCTCAACATGACCTCAAGGCCTTTGGTAAATGGTCAGCAGCATCCCATGTCAAGGATGGGGATGAAAGGGGATAACCTAGGACAAGAGGCTGCTGCCACATTTAGGCCAGTGCTTGAACAATGGTAGAAATATACAAACAGCTCAAAGAAGCAGGTGAGAATTCCACAAAGGCAAGTAGTCAGTGACCAGGAAATTAGAGCTCCGGAATTCACAGTTCACAGGCATCCACGGGTACCATCACAAGCTGCAAGATTACTGACCTCTCTCTCTCTCTCTTTCTGCACACAGGGAGGCCCCTGCCGACATGTCGACACTGTCTGTTGTATCATAAAAATATCACATGTGTGAGAAAGAGAATTTATTGACAGCAGACAATTTCATACAATTTTGGCATTTAATTTTAGTCATTACACCAAGACACCTGTGTGATAAGAATGATGTGTGAGACCCACAAAAGGAATGTTCTAGTCTAGTACTATGTAATAGAACTATAATGTAAGACACAGAAGCAAGTCATGTATAGTTTTAAAATTTTTGGTAGTCACATTTCAAAACATTTTTAAGAATAGGTGCAGTTCGGCCGGGCGCGGTGGCTCAAGCCTGTAATCCCAGCACTTTGGGAGGCCGAGGCGGGCGGATCACGAGGTCAGGAGATCGAGACCATCCTGGCTAACACGGTGAAACCCCGTCTCTACTAAAAATACAAAAAACTAGCCGGGCGCGGTGGCGGGCGCCTGTAGTCCCAGCTACTCGGGAGGCTGAGGCAGGAGAATGGCGTAAACCCGGGAGGCGGAGCTTGCAGTGAGCTGAGATCCGGCCACTGCACTCCAGCCTGGGTGACAGAGCAAGACTCCGTCTCAAAAAAAAAAAAAAAAAAAAGAATAGGTGCAGTTCATATACACCATGGAATACTATGCAGTCATAAAAAAGAATTAGTTCATGTCGTTTGCAGGGAAATGGATGAAGCTGGAGACCATCATCCTTGCAAACTAACACAAGGAACAGAAAACCAAACACCGCATATTATCAAAATAATAATAATAATAATGTATTCACTCATAAGTGGGAGTTGAACAATGAGAACACATAGACAAAGAAAGGGGAACATCACACACTGGGGCCAGTCAGGGGATAGGAGGAAAGAGGAAGGAGAGCATTAGGACAAATACCTAATGCATGTGGGGCTTAAAACCTACATGACGGGTTGATGGGTGCAGCAAACCACCATGGCACATGTATACCTATGTAACAAGCCTGCACCTTCGGCACACGTATCCCAGAACTTAAAGTAAAATTAAAATAGATAAATAAGAATAGGTGAAATTAATTTTAATGTTTTATTTGCTCAATATATCCAAAATGCTGCCATTTTTACATATGATCTATATTATTGAGATATATTGAAAAATATTGAGATGTTTTATGTTTTATATTGTACTAAGCCTTTGAAATCCAGTGTGTTTTTCACAGTTACAGCACATCTCAAATCAGACTAGCAACATTTGTTGTTGTTGTTTGTTTTGAGACAGAGCCTCGCTCAAGGCTGGAGTGCAATGGCACGATCTCGGCTCACCTCAAGCTCCGCCTCCAGGGTTCAAGTGATTCTGCTGCCTCAGCCTCCCGAGTAGCTGGGACTACAGGCGCCCACCATGCCTGGCTAATTCTTGTATTTTTAGTAGAGAGGGGGTTTCACCATGTTGGCCAGGCTGGTCTCGAGCTCCCAACTGCAGGTGATCCGCCCACCTTGGCCTCCCAGACTAGGCACATTTTAAGCCCTCAATACCTACATCTGGTTAGTGGCTGCTGTATGGGACAGCATGGGTCTAGTCCAATAAAATACGTAATGTCAAACTCTAAATAATATTAGCCAGGCTGGGTGCGGTGGCTCACGCCTGTAATCCCAGCACTTTGGGAGGCTGAGATGGGTAGATTACGAGGTCAGGCGATCGAGACCATCCTGGCTAACACGGTGAAACCCCATCTCTACTAAAAATACAAAAAATTAGCTGGGCGTGGTGGTGGGCGCCTGTGGTCCCAGCTACTTGGGAGGCTGAGGCAGGAGAATGGTGTGAACCCAGGAGGCGGAGCTTGCAGTGAGCCAAGATCCAGTCACTGCATTCCAGCCTGGGGAACAGAGAGAGGCTCTGTCTCAAAATAATAATAATAATAATAATAATAATAGCCATTGATTCAGTAAACAACTAGATAGGTCCTATCTGGAACTGACTGACAAGCCTTGGCCACCTAAGAAAAATTGAAAGCGTGTAGGAGTGCAGTTGGTCTTGCTGACAGCCACAGCCTGTACAACCAGCTCCTTCACACCCACACTGCCCCATCAGTTTTCTGTCCTGACCCCTGTCTTCCTCCTGTCCCCTATGGCACTAGGTGATTCCTGGCAAAGTAACTTGAGGAGAGATGTTTAAATAAGGCTTATATGTTGGCATCACAGCTCACACACAGGCCTCTGCCAGAAAGAGCAACACAGACTTCTCCAGCATCCTGTGGTCCTACGGACAGATACTTCACGAGATCCCTTTCCGGGCCCTTCAAACCCCACTTTGGAGACCATACTAGGAAACCCAGTTAAGAACAGTAGGCTCAGAAAATGACACTGAAAGGGAAAGGCATGGACACCAGCTTCTTGGTGCCCCAAAGCTTGGGAGCACATGCGCAAAGCAGTGTGCTGGGCCAGAGTGCCAGGAATGCTGGAGGCCACTCCCTGCTTCACCGGACTCCAACCTGCCCGGGAGATCCATGGCCTTGCTGCCCTGGCTCCATGAGAACTGACATGCTTATCTGTCTTCCTCCTTCAGAGGCAACAAGGAGTCGAACCAGAGCTATTCTCTGCAAGCCCATGATCTTCCAATAAACTAGGCAAGCATGGAGGAGGTAAGACAGGCCCCGACTCCTCCTCTCCCAGGGAGAGAGGAGGTAGTGCCGAGGGTCTGACCCAAGGACCTCACAGTCTGGTTGAGGAGTCCTGGGCCCTGCCTGGCAGAGCCCCCATGCCAGCTGGGAAGGGCAGAATCACCTGCAGGGCAGTTAGGATGTGAGCTGGGGTATGGGGGTTTATCCTCAGAGTGGTGGAGGCCAGAGGTCAGCTAGGATGGAGCCATCAGGAAAGCATCCCCAGGGATGTGGACTGATTTGGGTAATTCCCAAGGCCATGCTTATTTGTAGCATCAGTGAAAAGATGGTGAGAAAGCCCTGTACAATGGGACAAATGAGAGAAGTTCTCATTGTTCCTTTACATTCCATCCCTGCCCTGACTAGTGCATAAAATGGAGCTTTGAAATCTGTCCTCAGCCTGTGCTTCAGGTGGAAACCCGCCATGCTAGCGGATGCGTGGACTAGCAGGTGTGGTTGGTGTGCAGACACAGTCTTGCCCTCGCTCCACCTCTGGCCCTCATTGACATTGCCCTCCCCACTCCCCTGCCCCCATCCAGAGAGCTCCTTACTGTCCCTGAGTGATTAGACAAAGACACTAAGGAGTCTGTCTAACCCATCCTCCTCCAGGCCAAGGGCCTCTGCACTCTCCACACATGGCCAACTTTGACCCAGCCATCTCAAGACCAACATTGTACCTTTATTGGAATGAATCACAGCAGAGCTCCCGCAGAAGGGCGGCCATTTTTTTTTAATGTCAAGTGCTGGTCCGGGAGCAGGACTGATCCTGCCCCACAGACTGAACTGGGCCTGGAATCTGTGGCCTGGAATCCACGACCCCATACTTGGCCACTCAATTCCAACCCAAGATGGTCTGGGGGCCTGGCCCTCGGGGAGCCTGGATGTTTGCTTCCTCTTTATTGATCCTAGGCAGGTTTGGAGACAGGGTATGGGAACAATCTCAGGATCTGGGCATTGAGAACGACGTTCTTGGCCGCTTCTTCAGACATATCATCAGATGACATATCATCAGATGACGTATCCTCAGGCGTCATGTCCTTGACCTTATTCCTGAAAGAGCCATCAGAGGATAAGTCCATCAGAGGATAAGTCCAGGGCCACATCTTTCCAGAAGCTGAGAAAAGCAGCGGCTTGTGCCTTCAGCAGCACCCAACCCTGCGTTCCCAAGAGGTGAGACTTTCTCACTCCGGCAGGTCCCCAGTCGAGCTTTGCCAGGAGCCTCCAGAATCAGGTGTGCTCCAGCTCCCAACTCTCGCGAGACCCTTCTCTTTCCTGTGTCTTTGAAGTTGGTCCACCATCTTCACTGCTAGCATTTACTGAGCACTTGCCACATGCCAGACCCTGTGCCAGCTGCTTTATGTAGGTTTAATCCTCTCAAAAAAACCCATGGGGGATGGCTGGGCTACATGGCCTTACCTCTCTGTGCCCCAGTGCTCTCATCTGTAAAATGGGGATAGTGATAGGACCTACCTTGCATTTGATTGTTTTAAGGATAGAGAGAGATAAGGTATGTATAGAACAGGGTCTAACACACAGCAAATGTTCAATACATCTTAGCTATTGTTATTACTCCGTTCTCATTCCACTTTGCAAGTGAAGAAACTGAGTCTCAGAGGTATGAGGTAACTTCTCCACGCACACACTAGGAGGTTGTGGCACAGGGAACCTGTGCCCATAACCACTATCTGCTCTCCCTGTGCGGCGCTGAACTTCTTCTTTCTATGGTGGGGCAAGTTTCTATCTATCCTTCAAAGCCCTACTCAGATGTCACTGTGACATTTTCCCCGACTCCCCAAATGAACGTTCTTCCCTTGTTAGGTTCCTATAGATCCTGTACATCCCACTGTCAGAGTCCGCTAGCAGTAGCTGTTTGCATAATCTGTCTTCACATAAGCTATGGCTTTCTCAAGGGTGGGGAGTGCTGACCTCTGACCTTTGACAGTCAAGCCCTGGCACAGTGCCTAGCACGTGTGATTCGAATGAGAGCAGGGCGGGAGGGCAGTAGGAAGATGGTAGGGAAGAGGGCAGAGAAAGCCCAGAGGCAGTGACTCCTGTGGCACAGAGCAGAGGACACTCTAGGGCCCCGGCAACTTCTGCTCCATACTGCTGCTCGGGTCCCCTCAGGTCCAGGGAGAGCATGTTCATTGGCTCAAATCCCAGAAGGGATGGTTCTGCCAATCATGACAAGTCTTTTCCAGGGGACACTTGGGAGATCAGAGGCCAGAAGTGCCCATGGAGGTGTTGGGTGGAGCCCAGTTCCCGAATGGGGTCCTGGGCTGCTGGGGCCAAGAGGCCAGAGTCCTTCATCAAGACTGGGTTTTTTATGAGGAACTAGGAGTTCAGACAGGAAAAGAGATGTACTCAGAGTTGGTTCCAAGCCAGTCCTCTGTCCCTGGGAGGAGAGGGAGCCTCTGGCAGGAGTGCCCCTGGAGGGTATGCCCAAAAGCAATGCCCCCATCCAGACAGGCAGGCAGGGGCAAGGAAAGGAGACGACACGGCCCAGCCCGGGTCAGGAGGGGCAGCAAGATGGGAGCTGGCAGAGGCTGGGTGGGAGCAGGTAGGCAGCAGCAGCCAGAGGAGAAGGGAGACTGCTGCAGACATGGCAGCCTTCAGGTCACAGGCTCTCTGGCAGAGGAGCGGGGATGGACAACGCCCCACATGCTCTCTGTACCAAGGCTTCAGAGCCAGGCCCCATGCTGGCACAGCCCGGGAGGCTCCCACACCTACCTCATCTGTGGGGAGTGGTCCAGGCTGTCGAAGAGGGGCTGATCTCGCGTTTCCGGTAGCAGGAAGGAGAGGGAAAAGGCCACGATGGCTAAGACACAGCAGAGAAAGATGGGCAGGAAGGAGGGGGTCTGGTTGATGATTGTCAAGGACAAGATGGCTCCAGTCGCCGAGGCCAGAAACACCAGCCCCAGACCTGTCGCCCTGAAAGTGGAGGTGAGAGCTCCTCTGAGAGGTCTGTCGGGTTCAGAGGCTGGGCCAGGCCAGCAGCTACATGAAACCCCACACCCTCCAGTCTCCACCCTGTCCCGTCCTCACTGTGTGATTCCAAGCAGACAATAATTTCTTCTGGGCCTCTTCAAGGGAGATGAGGAGGGGGAGAGGCAGAAACCATGCAGCATTGTGTGGAAGTGCAGGGAGAGGACGCAGGCAGTGATGCCAGCCAGGCAGGAAGATAGTGCTCCCATCACCAACCTCAGGGAAGGATCTGAGCCTCCGAGTGGCCCAAACACTTTGCAGGCAGTGAGTGCAAGGCAGGGGCTGGAGTCAGGCTGCCTGGGTCCAAATCCCAGCTCTGCTGCTTGCTCTGTCTGCCCTTAATCGAGTGCCTTCATCTATCTGGTCTTGCATCTGAAATAGGGTTAGCGATGGCATTTGGGGGATTTTCTGGGGTGTTTAAACGAGATCACTTATGTAAACTGTTTAGCACAGTGCTTGTCACCAGGCGAATGTTTGTCTTACTTGCTGCATTAATCTTGTCATTGTCAGTCCCTGCCCATGCCGCCATGGCCCCCTCACCCACCAGACCCCATACCTGAGCACGGTGGGGAGGAGCTCAGCGGTGTAGAGGAAGAACACAGTGACAGTGGCGGCCAGGCTGAACTCTCCAAGTGTGAGCACCAAGATCGTCATGGATTTCAGCCCTGTGGCCGGACAACGTGGCCGCCTGAGTCTGAGGCCATCCTCCCCTGGGGCAGGTGAAGGAGGCCCGCCCATCAGCTCTCCCTTGACCCCTCCTAGAAGGCATCTGAGCAGCCTTCCCTACCACCTGCCCAGTTGGCCAGCAGGCTCAGGCATTCCATCAGAGGAGGGGCAAGCTGTCAGAGGCCCAGTCAGTCCAGAAGGCAGGACATGTGCAGTGCAGAGTTGGTCAGCAGGGGTAGGGAGGTCCCCTGGGACCCCCATGGCCTCTCAGGCCACTGTCTCCCATGCTACACCCAACACCCCCATCTCTGCCTCCAAGGCTGTGTCTTTGTTCCACCTCCTCACCCAACTGCAGCTTCCTCACCCCACTGGGGATCCACTCAGGGCCAGGCCTGTGTCCTCTGGGTTGGAACCCCTGCTCAGGGCCGTACCACCAGGGCTCTGCAAGGTGCTCAGAGTAAGGGGGTGTTTGGTTCCTGGGGCCTGAATGGCTGGGATAGGTCCCAAACATTCCAGGATGTTTTCTGGCCAGCTAGACAGGCACAATGAAGGGGAAACTGGAGAAAGCCCATTCCTCAGACCTGGTGAAGCTGGGGGCTTCAGCCCCTGCCTGCCTGCCTGTCAGCCTCTGCAGGACCCTGCCCCAGCCTCACTCCCATTCCAGTCCTGGCTTTTCTTGTCTCTGGGATGAAATTAGAGATCCAGTTTTATCTACTGGGGAGTCCATTCCTAGTTTCTCTCACACTTCTGAGTTTACATATTTCTGCTTGACTCAGCGTAGACCCGCTTTTTTAAAAACCACCAGGCAATAAACATTCAATAATAAATTTGTTTCCACATTTTGTGTTACCCAATCTACACTGCCAGCATCTGGGAGTGGAAAGGTCCTAATCCAGGCACACACAATTCCAACCCTGGAGAAAGGGAGGGAACCCCTCCAGCGGGCCCGGATCTAGCCTCCGCTGCCCTCGCTGGACTGTGAAAAGGCTCTGCAGGCAGTCGTTCTAAGTGCGTGTGCTGCACAGATCGCTCCAGCTCTAGGACCTGTGGCGTATCCACTGCTTAGGGCTCTTTGAGATTCTGAAGATAACACCAGCCCTTCCTGTTTCCTTTTCTAGTGCTAAGCCCGCAGGAACGCAGCACTCAGCCCCTCTGGAAAGGAGGGGCCTCCATACAAGAGCTGTTCCTGAGTGCTGAGCCCCACATGACACTCAATTTTCAGTGAGCAGGTTATTCCTGGCGCAGCTACAGAGAACAACAGGCATTTCCCAGTCAAAGGGGCTACAGATGACAGGTGGGCCTGGGCAGCGGTTGAAGGAATATTTTTGCCATCATCTATTCACATGTAACCATTAGACCTACTTCTAAGGTGGATTGGAATGTGGTGGAAGAAGGCTGCTGCCTGCTGTCCTCTGGAAAGTACACCCTCCTTCCTCAGGCCTCCGAGAGAGTGTGGGCGCCCTGTCTGGGAGACCCCACCCAGGAAGGGCAGTGCTCCAGGGACTGGAGGTGCTGGGGCCTCTGTGGGGTGGGTGGGCTATAGGTGCAGGAGGCTGATTCCCAGGGTGTCTAGGTGGCTGGCCAGGGCGGGCGGCAGTGGGGAGGGGTTTTGAGAAGCAGGAAGGCGGTGGGCAACCCACGGGGGAAGGATGAGCTGTACCTTCAGGGAGGAAAAGGAGAAGCAAGCACCAGATGATGGTTTGGAGGAGAGTCACAGCCAGGCTCCACTTCCTCCCAATCTGCTGGAGGAGAAAGATGCAGCACAGCCGGGCAGACACCTCCATCATGCTGGGGACCACATGTCTGAAGTGGACGCTCACGCCCAGCTCTCTCATTCTCAGGCTCAACGTAAAATAGGTGTAACTGACGGTAAACCTGGATGAAGCCAGGAGGCACGTGCGCGTGCATACACACACACACACACACACACACACACACACACACGGAGCCGGGAATAAAGACAGAGGCACAGCAGCAAGGGTCAGGGTAGGAACGGAGGAGAGAAATAAGCACAGAGACCTGTGATCTGTGTCCTTGGGCTGCCTCCCCTGCAGCCTGACCATTCCCATCCTCTCCCTAAAGTTTCCAGCCTGCGCACCTGTTTGCAGTCCCTGCCAGCGGGCCCTGGATACTCACCACACGCAGCTCATCACCAAGATCACCTTGCAGAGCTGCCTATTCTTACAGAAGTCCAGGACAGAGGCCTGAGTCACCTTCTTTCTGGGCAGCTGCACCTATAGAACAAGCAGAACCAGTCAGAGGCAGAGCCAAGACCCCAGCTTGCTCCCCAGCCCCACAGCACCCACAAGGCCTGCCTGTCCCTGAAAGTGCCAGCTGGCATCTGGTCTTCCCTGGCAGGGTTCAATTTTGCTGTCACCATTGTCCTTAAGCAGTGGACTGGGGGCACCCTCTGGACCAATGTCCCACCTGAAGGGATGAGGAGGGAAGGGGCCCTTCCACAGCCCATTGCTCCGGCCCCACTCCTGGCTGGAAGCCCTTTACCTCGTCCAGCAGATTTGAAGGAATGGTCTTCTTGTTCACACTTGCAGCGTAGCACAGCATCTGCTTGGCCTCCTTCACCTTCCCTTTCATCATCAGCCACCGTGGGGACTCCGGGAGAATCCTGCGTGGCCAGCCCCTCTCTTATCTCATTGTTCTATGATGCCCAGAGACCCCTGCTGGCCCTCTCGTGGCCTCATCTGTGGCCATCCTGTGCCAGCATGAGGTGATTCAGATGTCAGGGCCTTGAAGGCCACCACTGACCTTGAGCTGCCCTCTGCTCCTCCCTGGCAGTCAGCCCTTCCCCTGTCTAAGCCTCAACTGGCCTCCACTGCTGCTAAGTGACACCCTGACCACTGGCTGCCTCTGTCTGCAGCCTCCTTGATTTGCCCTCGGTTATCACCGAGAGCTCTCTCCTTTTCTCTCTAGGGGGACCATCCCTATCTGCTCAGGCACACTGAGGGCTCCGACCTCCATGCCACAGCCTCTTGTAGAGCTCCCATGCTTTTAGTTGGAATTTCTCCTGTTCCCTGTCTCCCCAACAGCCTGAGGAGTGTGAGGAGGCAGGATCCTGGGTCTGACCCCAGTGCCCAGCACTCTGCCTGGGTGAATGGAGGGGTGAGTGAAGGTCTCTACTCTGTCCCGTCTCTCCCCTGCCACATCTCTATTGCCTTTGACCTCAGAATAAGTCCTCTCTGTTTTTTCCCATCCTCTCAGGCTGTCAGAATCCACACAGATTGGCATAAAAAGCACTTATGTGTGAAAAATGGTGCTCAGTGCCCTTGTATATATAGTCTTGTTTAATCTTCATCCAAACCTGGACCTAGTATGATTATCCACATTTTACTCCCAGGCTCGAGGAGTAAAGGCTTGCCCAAGAGCACAGAGGCAGAGCTATGTACTTGGGGACTGGTACAGCCTCAGTCCCCTAAGGTGGTATAACTTTTTGATAAAACTATGCCTGCTGATTTCTTACACCACCACTCCCTCCCTGACCACGATTCTGGCTGGTTGCCATAAACACATACTCAAGACACTAGAGACAACTTCATTCCTTATACCTGCCCTGCTCCTCCTCTCTCCCACCAGGGTTCAGCAATCAGTCATCATTTTCCACTCTAAGGCTGTGGAACTCTCCTAAAGAAAGTCATTAAACTGAGACTTCTTCAAAAAGATGGGGGATTGGCCTCATGTCCACTGAAAAAACAGGAACAAAAAAAGGATACCAACTCTCAAGGGCAAAGAGAATGGGAGGGAGGACACGATGGGAGAGATGTAACAAATGCACTGAAGAGGTCATGAACAGAATGTTGACATAAATATGGACAATAAAGATATTCTCATGAGGTCTCAGATGCAAATGAGGAACTATTAGAAACTGGAGAAATGGCAATCCTTGCTACAAAATGGCAAAGAACTTGGCTGAACTGTATTCATGCCCTAGTGTTTGTGAAAGAAGGAACTCGTAAGTGATGAAATAGGACATTTGGTGGAAGAAGTCTCTAAGCAAAATGCTGAGGGTGCGGTATGGCTTCTCTTGACTACTTACAGTAAAATGTGAGAAGAGAGAAACAAATTAGAATTTATAATTAAAAGGGAAGCAGAACTTAAAGATTTGTCAAATGCTCATGTTAGCCATGTTGTTTATTCATTTTCCATGAATAACAAAGTGTGTTTGGGAGAAAACACCAAAGATGTGGCCAAGCTACTGTTTGGTAAGGAGGCTAGTACAAATCAGCAGAACTAACCATGGAGACACTAAAAGAATAACCCCAAAGATACATTAGAAATCATTGGTACTGCCCCTCCTATCACAGACCCAGAGTGCCAAAGCCTAGGGGACATAACTATGTCAAAAGAGGGACCTTGAGCACCCATAGCCCACATTGGTGCTCATTGCTAACAGCCTACCAATAGAGGCTGGAAATCCAGTTCATGGAAGGGACAGGGTCTTGAATCTCTCCTCCTCACTCCCCATACAGGTCTCATCTACTCAAGCTAGGCAAAGGGGAGTTCAAGAGAACTCCTTAGACAGATGAGGGGACTGCCTTCTAAAAAAGGACATCTACCATCCCACTCTGGCTGGAACTTGCTAATTCAGAAACATGGGGGCTTGCGCTGGTGTTCCAGACAGTAAGAGAGATTATAGGAGAGTTAATATGTGTCACCTGGAGTTTGAGGGCCTACATAAACCCAGAGAATGATGCCCATCTCTCATCTGGGTATAATGAAGGCAGAAGGTTGAATGGAGCAGCCCACCACAACAGGGTGGAGGCTGGGGAACAGTGGGGTTTTTTGGCCAAGTGGACCCTGCTGTCTTAAAGGCACCCCATGTGCTGGGATGAGGAGATCCCTACACAAAGAGGCTGTGGGGTGAACTGCCAGGGACAGGAGCTGAGGGAGGTCACAAACAGAGCACTGGGAGCATTAGGAAATTCCAGTGCTCAGAAGACCCACGAATGGACCCAAGAGTGATGGCATTTGAATATCTACTCTACAGAGGACCCTGAGAGACTATAATAGCCCCTGCCATGTCAGTCTTTGGTCTATTTTATCTGATGTCCCTATCCCATGCCTAGAACCTGGAAAATCAGAACGAGGAGATAGGAGGAAGAACAATAGGTCAGAACAGACCTCATCCCCCTTGGCCACTATCCTGAGCGAGGAGCCAGGAAAAAGCTGTGGATCTGATGTAAGATTAAAGTTTTTAATTGAACTGGACTGAATGTTTTTTTTTAAACAGGGTCTCACTCTTCTGCCCAGGCTGGAGTGCAGTGATGCAATCATAACTCACTGCAGCCATGATCTCCTGGGCTCAAGTGATCCTCCACCTCAGCCTCCCAAGTAGCTGGGACTACAAGTGTGTGCCACCAGCTCTGGCTAATTTTAAAATTTTGTGTAGAGGCAGGGTCTTGCTGTGTTGCCCAGGCTGGTCTCAAACTCCTAGCCTCAAGCGCTCCTCCCACCTCAGCCTCCCAAAGTGTTGGGATTACAGGCATGAGCCACTGCTTCCAGCTCCCATGCTGTTAACCCCATCCTTTATCATCCTTACTACACATGGTACAGTTAAAATGCAGGGGCTTTGGAGACGGCCCCTGAGTTCAAATCCCAGGTGCCCCACTTTCTAGCTGTGTGATGTTGGACAAGTTATTTCCACCCTCAGAAGCCTCAGTTCTCCCTCCTCCCCACCTCCCATGACATGGGAGTAGCATACTTCTTCTAGAGGGGTCAAGATTAAATACAATAATGTCAAGATTAAATATGATCATTGTTTCATGCAGAACTGCCTAACCCTTCACACGTGAGTTCTTTCAGCTTCTTCTCACCTCCCTCTCGGCCTTCTCTTTTGTCCCTCTCTTTTCCCCACCTGCCCAAGGTTAGCTGTGGCATCTCACTTTTGTTCTCAACCCTTATTCCTCCAAGTTTTGCCCCATCAGTTGTCCTCTCCCAGCCTCAATCTCTTAGGTTCCTGCCTGTGACTCCCCCACATTCAAAACATCTGATACTCTTCCCTGACTCTTAGTTGCCCGTGTAAATCATCCCTTTCTCCCTTTTTCTATGAAAGTCATCTCCTGGCTGAATTTCTTCTGCTCCTAGTCACTCCTTAACCCTCTGCCACTGCAGTGAAGCCACCTGAAGAAAGTCACCAAGGCTGGCAGACCCTTTCCCAGCCTCACCCCTCTTGCCTTCAACACTGACCCTTCCCTTGTCCTTAAACCCTCGGCCTTCAATACTCTTCCTCCTGGTGTTCTGACCACCTCTCTGACATCTCTTTGAGGGTCTTCTCTGGGTCGGGGAGGAGATTAATGCTGAGGTTCAGAGGCTCTGCCCTTGGTGCCTTCCTATCTCATCCCATCCACAGGCACTTTCTCCCAGGGGAAATCCCACCCATTCCCACATTTTCAAGGACCCTCCACTCTCATCGACATCCAGCCCATCAGACCCAGCCCTGTACATGCCCTGTACTCGCTTGCTCACCAGATATAGGAGATGAGGGGGACCGCAAGTGCCCCACCCACCAGAAACAGCAGCCGCCAGTGGGGAAGACTGTAGGCGATCCCCGTCAGCAACATGGCCCCAACAGCGAAAAAGCAGTGTTCCAGGATAATGGCGTGGGCCCGGTGCTCGCCCACTAACCACTCAGTGGCTGTGCAGAAGCCAAGAGGACAAAACCATGGTCACTTCAGGGTCCCCAGGGCTGCCCTTGCATTCAGCCTTCCTGGGTATCCCCACCTCCTCTGGACAGTTGAGATCAGGCAAAGCTGCTTCTGCTTGTCTCTGCACTGGGTCCAGAGACAGCCCCTCAGAGCCTGGTAGAGCACTTCTGTTCCCGCCAGGGCACACCCTTGTCTCCTAATCATACACACAGCTTCCTTCCCACTCCACCTGGCTGCTCCCTCTGCACACCCGCTGTCTGACCATGTGCCTCTCATAGAAAAGACACAATACCAGACACGTGGCCCAACACATGGTCAGGGAAGGAACCGCTGTCCTTGTCTTTGTTCTGAGTGTATTCGTGCTTTGGCCACCTAGGCCTAAGGATCCCAATGAGAAGAGGTTCTCCTGCCAGGAAACCCTGAGCAACTAGGCAGCTGCAGCTATAAGGCTGCACTGGGTGCTTTAGTATCTCATAGGCCTGGGTTGAAGTCCCAGCTTCTTCACTTAGTTGCTGTGTGACCCTGTGCAAGTTGGTTAACTTCCCTGAGGCTCAAGAGTCCTCCTCAGCTGAAGGAGTAATAGAATACTGCCTGCTGAAGAGAGTCGCATCAGGAGGAAATGAGACAATGCATATAAAGGGCTTAGCAGCTGCCTGGCTCCTCTTAGCAGCTATCTGGTTCTTTCTTCTTCTTCTCCTTCTCTTTCTTCTTCTCCTCCTCCTCCACCTCCTCCTCCTGCTCCTTTTTTCTTTTCTTCTTCTTTCTTCTTTCCTTCTTCTTCTTCTCCTCCTCCTCCTCCTCCTTCTCCTCCTTCTTCTTCTTCTTTTTTTTTTTTTTGAATGGCCTTTCTTAAGGGCTCAATAAATGTAACTCATGGGACTTGGGGGTATGCAAGGAGTGTGCGGTGGAAGGTGTGGGGTATGAGGGAGTTAGGAAGGAGATGAAGGTGGAAGAGCAGTCAGGGTACTGATTCTCTGGCATCTCCAGGCAGCCAGGAATGGAGATCCCTTCCCCTTCTGCCTGTCCAATTAGGCCCCTGACTCTGTGTCCTGTGGGCTCCCAGCAGGTGCCCACGCCACCACACACCTGCCACGCCCTCTTGCAGCCATGCCACGCCCCCTTGCCATCTGGCTATGACGTCACGCCCCCTGCCACTACTTCCCCTTGTCACCCGCCTATGCCACCATGTCCCTGTGCCACCCCGCCCTGCCCCATTGAGGCCCAGTCTCACCCAAAGAAATGCTGCTGATGGAGTAGCCCACCACTGACTGCGAGATGCCAAAGCGAAATAACAAATACAGGTGAAAGCTGTTCACGAAGGCTGTCCCAAAGCCGAAGATGATCAGCCCCAGCAGTGACAGCAGGATGGCAGGGTAGCGGCCCATCCTACAGGCGTCAAAGGGAGGCTGCACCAAGCGCACGGATCTCCCTGTCCCTGGCTGGCTCCAGCCTGATATACCTGGGCCAGGCCCTGAGCCATCCATGGGTCCCTGGAGAACCCTTATCCTCACCTCCCTCAGCCTGACACACTCCAACCCTGAATGCCCATGAGGAGGAGGTGGGATGGCTCGGGGGCCAGCAGAACCTCCTGCGGACTCACTTGTCAGTTATGAGCCCGAAGATGAGAGAGCCTATCAGGATTCCTGCCATGAACATGATATGTGCAGTGTCCTTCTTCGTCTCCGCGTCACATACCAAGTCAAACTGTGGGTCAGACACAGGGATTGGTCACGGGCGCCCACCTTTGGGTCCAGAGACTGAGCCTCATCCCAGGGTGGGACTTATAGGCCAAGGAGACCTGGGGTAGGGGCAGGTAACTGTGTGCGGCGTGCCTCAGCTGTTGCCTCTGCTCTGCTACCTCTGCAACCCCTCCAGCACCTGCTCCACCCTGAGAGCTGGGCCTGGAGAGAGTGACAAGAGGCACAGGCCAAGATGTGTGGCGGGGGCAGGGGGTAACTGAGCAAGGGCAGGAATCAGTGCAGACCCTTTCCCAAAGGCAGATGCCAGGCCCATCCTGCAGATTCATGCTAGTGTGGTCTGTGTTTTAAAGGGCCTAGATTGCAGCTCGGGTTGGGAAGCCCCGTAAGAGATGCCTCAAAGCTGCTTCTTTCCCCGAGCCCTACTTTTTATGAGTTCTAAGGTCAGAGCCACAACTACAGGAGCGATTTCTTGGACAGATGGAAGGAAACCCTGCCGTGCAGTACCCATCTCTACCCCAAATGTACTCTACAGATAGGCAGGGCAAGCACTGGGCAGCAGGAATCCTAATTTTCTGCCCAGGCCCTGCCTCTGCAGGGTGACTTCAGGCCAATGGCTTCCCATCTCTGAGCCTCGGTTTCCCCACCTGTTCAGTGAGGGTGGGAGGCACAACTCTGAGCCTGTAGGGTAGTTACAGACAACCCATGACACGACATACCTCATTGATCAGCGATCTCTTCTTAGCGTCAGGATAGATCCACCCATCTTGGCATTTGTCTGTGTCATTGAGGCCAAAGTGGATGATAGAATCCAGATTCCAAGGCACAGGAAGGTACATGAGGCACATCAGGAAATTGCCATTGGGTCCTCGGGGTATGGTCAGATTCAGCTGCTCAGCTTCAGACAGGTTGGGGCCCACTGCCAGGATCCAGCTGGTGTTGCAATAGGGCTTTTGGGCTGTGAACACGAAGTAGCCAGCAAACATGAAGAAGGCTGACATGATGCTGGGGATAAAGGTGAGGGCCACTAGCCTCCGCTGGAATGTGCCAAACTCCCCCACCGCATCCAGGAGGTTGGCAAACTTGTCATCCTGCTTGGTGTGGTCAGTCCTCAATCTGTGTAACAGCATCTCCAGAGACCAGGAATGTGGATGCCCTGCTGCCTCATGCTGGCTCAAGTTGCTGGAAGCATCCTGGGATCTGAGCTCTTCCTTGACGTTCTCTTCTCCTGCCATCTGTCCAAAGAAAGGGTGCAGCTCAGTCTCTGCTGACACCAGTTCCTGAACATCGGAGACCAGCATGGGAGCCACTGACCAGGAACTGGCCTCTGGCTGGAAGCAATATGGATTCCAACCTTGATATTCTCAGTAGCTCCCTCCCTTGCTTTCTTAGTTAACTTGATTTATTCCCCACTGGCCCAACCATCCTGGAGTTTTAGTGTAATTAAGATTTTTAATGTTTTAGAAAATGCTGTGCTTCTGTTGTCATGAAGGTCTGACTAATTCTGAGGAACTCTCCTACAACTTCCGCATAACTCAGACTTCTTGTTTACACACACACTGAGACACCAAAGGTCTGGCAAAAGGTAGGAGAGGTCTCCAGGGACCTTTTCTTTAAAATGAAACAAAGATCTGCATCAGCAGTGGCCAGGAGCTGGGCCCGAGGTGGGGGACTGGAAGCCTAGGCCACAGAGATGGGGCGCCAAGGCTGGTGCGGTGGTGAGGTGGTGCAGCATGGAGCCAAACTGGAAAGGCAGATGGGCGGAAGGAGGAAGGTGAACAGTACTGACTGTGAGCATATTACCTTGCAACAGCAGCGAGGAGGGGAAACTAAGCTTAAAACTCTGTTTTGAGCCAAAACTCTCAGAAGGGGTAACAGTTCCTGGTGCAGGGCACCCCTTGGCTCAGAGCAGAGGCAGAAGCAAGCCTTCTCTGAAGGAAAATTTCTTCAAGTTGATTCTGCAAGACTCTCATGGATGTACATCAAACAAAGAGATTACAGCTTGAGAAGACAAGCCACTCTAAGAGTCAACAGAACCCAGAAACCACAGACTTTTAGACTGCAGATGTTGAAACTGTCAGATACAAAATTTAGAACAGCTATTGTATGAATTTTTTAAGGATTAAAAGGTTGTAATTACAAAAATGAACTTACAACAATCAGGAAAAAGCAGACAGTTTTGGAAGGAAGATTAGAAACTTTCAAAAATGAAAGCTTGTTGAATGACAAGTTGATGTTGAGATAAAAACACTAAGAGGAAAGTTAAACAGATTTGACACAAAGAATCAGTGAACTGGAATAAACTGCTGAAATGTGAGAGAGAGGTAAAGAGACTTGGTAGATAGAAGATTTAACGTGTATCGAATTGGAACTCCACAAGGAAAAATGGAGATGAAATAAAAATAATACGTTTTCTAAAACTTTTAAAACAAATTCTTAGATCCAGGAAACACAACTTATCTCAGGCAAGATAAATATAAAAGAAAACCATGGCTAGACACATTACTGTGAAGCTGCAGGGCAACAATGACAAAGAAAAGATCTTGAAAATCAGCTGGAGAGAAGACAGGCCACTGACTAATGAACAGCCTCAGCAGTCTCCTGTTAGAAGCAGGCGCAGGCCGGTAGATCACTTGAGCCCAGGGGTTCAAGACCAGCCTAGACAATATAGTGAAACCCTGTCTCTACAAGAATATACAAAAAAAATTAGCCAGGCTTGGTGGCATGTGCCTGTAGTCACAGCTACTCAGGAGGCTGGGAGGTTGAGGCTGCAGTGAGCCATGATCACGCCACCGCACTCCAGCCTGGGTAACAGAGAGAGACCCTGTCTCAAAAAAAAAGAAAAAAAGAAGATGAAAGTTAAGCAACAAGGAAACCAGGAGAGCGAAGAATATTTTCAAAATGTGGATGGAAAATTATAGACCACATAGAATTGTATACCCAGAAAAATTGTCTGTCAAGAACTAGGGCAAAATAAATATAATTATAGAGATAATCAGAAATTGAGAGAACACACAGCAAGAGACCTGATTTGATTGAACGTTTAAAAGATACAAAGGGTGCTGGCTTTGGCAGCACATGTACTAAAATTGGAACGATGTAGAGAAGATTAGCATGACCTCTGCACAAGGATGACACAAATTTGTAAAGTGTTCCATATTTAAATAAATAAAGACCAGAAGGAAAATGATCTCTGGAGGACAGCCGGAGATGCAATAATGAGTGGCAAAAATGGGAAAAATGTAAGCAAATTCAAATATTGATTGTATTAAATGAATGCAATCATTGAGATTGTATTGAATCGATAGTAGAGAAGAATTTATATCTTAAGAAAAATATTGAGCCTTCTAACCCATGAGGATGGAATGAAGATAGATACAGAGATGATAGAGATAGCGATAGCTCCATATGTTTTTAAGTTAAAAAGTTAAAGAAGAAATCATGGTGGGAGTTTAAAAAGATTTATAAATGAATGATAGTAAGAACCATAACATATCAAAACTTATGGGTGGTATAAAAAGTGGTACTTGTAGGAAGTTTATAGCTTTAAGTGCTTTATAATAGAAAATCAGAAAGACTGAAAATTAATCATCTAAACAACCGTCATAAGTGGGAAAAAACACAAAAGAATAAATCTAAAGAAAGTAAAGGAAGAAGGTAGTAAAGTTAAGACAAAAATAAAGGAACTAGAAACAAAAGAATAAGAAAAGGAATCAACAAAGTTCAAAATTAGTTCCTTGAATAGATTAATAAGACAGACAAACCTTTAGTGAAATTATGTAAAAAAAAAATAAAAAAGACAGAAGATACAAATAAGTCTTTTATATATGCAAAAAGGAATATACAGATATAGCAAGACTGAAAATATAATTGGATATGAACATCAACTTTATGCCAATGAATTTAAAAACTTAGGTGGATTAAATTTCTAAAACAAAATTACTCAAAACAGATTTAAGAATAAATAGAAAGTCTTAAAAGTTCTATAATGACTAAATTAAAGTAGAAGTAAAAAATCTTCCAATAAAGGAAGTCCAATTTATTTTTTTTCAGAGAATAGGCAAAGATATATACTCCCAAAGATTTTTAACTTTGATAGCACAACTAGAAAATTACAGTACAAAAAGGAAATGACAGATACGTTTCATTCATAAAAATGGATGCAAAAAACTCTAAATACAATGTTAGTAAATCAAATTTAATGGTGCATTAAGAGAAAATATATCACAGTAAATACAGTTTGATCTTTGAGACAGTGTCTCACTTGGTCACCTAGGCTAGGATGCGGTGGCACAATCTCGGCTCACAGCAGCCTTGACCTCCCAGGCGCAAGCAATCTTCCCACCTCAGCCTCCTTGAGTAGCTGAGACTACAGGTGCACCCACCACACTCAGCTAATTTTTATATTTTTTGTAGAGATGAGGTCTTGTTATGTTGCCCAGGTTGGTCTGGAACTCCTGAGCTCAAACAATCTGCCTGTCTTGGCAATCTGCCACCATGCACGGCCAGTTAAAAACAGTTTTAACCAGAAATGCAAAGATGGTTTTACTATTAGAAAATATAAATATATATATATACATATACATATATATATACTTTTTTTTTTGAAACAGAGTCTCACTCTTGTTGCCCAGGCTGGAGTACAGTGGTATCATGTCAGCTCACTGCAACCTCCGCCTCCTGGGTTCAAGCAATTCTCCTGCCTCAGCCTCCTGAGTAGCTGGGATTACAGGCGTGTGCCACCACGCCTGGCTAATTTTTGTATTTTTTAGTAGAGACAGGGTTTCACCATGTTGGCCAGGTTGGTCGAGACCTCGAGCTGATCCGCCCGCCCTGGCCTCCCAAAGTGCTGGGATTACAGCCTCCTGAGCCACTAAGCCTGGCCTAGACAATATATAAATACTTATATTTATACAAGTAATAAATCAATACTTAACAGGTCAATGGAGAAAACCATATAATCATGTTTATAGATGCAGAAAATACATTTGATAAAATTCAACAATTTGTGATTTTTAAAGAAAAATCCTAAGTGAGAAATTATTTGATTTAATAACAAAAAAAACTATCTCTCCCCCCAACAACAACAACAAAATCCTAAAAAGGAAACATTAAAAGTATCCCTTTTAAAATCAGAGGGAAGACAAAGATGCTCACAATTACTTATTTGACATTATACTGGTGGCCCTAGCCAGTGCAATGAGATAAGAAAGAGAAATTAAAGGCGTAAAGATGGAAAAGAAAATAAAACCCCAAAGAATCTACAGAGAATTAGAAACAATAGGAGAGCTTAGCAAGGTAGCTGCATATAATGTGAATATATAAAAGTCAGTTGCATTTCTCCCAAAACAATTAGAAAATATAATTTGTAAAAGTATTCCATTCAATAAAAAAATATTCAAACTCACTCAAAATTTGCGGAAATGCTAATTACAGCAATACTGTGATAACGTGTCTCACCTATCACATGGGCGCATTTTGTTGATGAGGCTGTGGGGAAACAAGTTCTTTCATACATTGCTGATGGGAATGCAAACTGGCACAACCTTTCTGAAGGACAATTCGGTAATACCTGATATTAAAGAACGAATTAACCCAGACACCCTGATTTGTTTACGTCTTGCACATGTTAAGAAAGGACTACTTGGCCGGGCGCGGTGGCTCAAGCCTGTAATCCCAGCACTTTGGGAGGCCGAGACGGGTGGATCACGAGGGCAGGAGATCGAGACCATCCTGGCTAACACGGTGAAACCCCGTCTCTACTAAAAAAATACAAAAAAATAGCTGGGCGAGGTGGTGGGCGCCTTTAGTCCCAGCTACTCGGGAGGCTGAGGCAGGAGAATGGCGTGAACCCGGGAGGCGGAGCTTGCAGTGAGCTGAGATCCGGCCACTGCACTCCAGCCTGGGCGACAGAGCGAGACTCCGTCTCAAAAAAAAAAAAAAAAAGGAAGGACTACTTGAGTGATTAGTCTTTGGCTGGCTTCTGGAATTGAACTTTCGGAGTGTTCCCTCTGCTACCATTAAGAGTGTTTGGGGCCAGGTGCAGTGGCTCATGCCTAAAATCCCAGCATTTGGGGAGGCTGAGGGGGGAGAATTGCTTGAGGCCAGGGGTTCAAGACCAGCCTAGGCAACATAGTGAGACCCACCCCGCATCTCTAAAGAAACAAACAAACAAAAATTAGCCAGGCATGGTGGAGTACACTTGTAGTCCTAGCCCCTTGGGAGGTTGAGCCACTCCTGATAGCTTGAGCCCAGGAGTTTAAGGCTGCAGTGTGCAAGACCTTATCTCTAAAAACATGTTTTAAAAGAGTGTTTGGCATGCTTGGAACCTTGAACCACATTGTACCATCTTGTCTAGATAGCTTGTGCCTTATGTTGAACATCTTTCCTTCTTGGGGTCTGAAATTGGGCAATGCAGTTTCAGTCATGGACGTTTTAGTCATGAAGGCACTGTGTGGCTTCACGTTCAATCCCCAATAACAATGCTGGGCTCTTAGGCTCAGGGAGATTCCCTGGCAGAAAAGACTTCACACATGTTGCTGCAGTTCATTGTTGGGGGAGTAAGGGCATCCCATGTACTTTCATTGGGAGAAGATGGGAAGATTGTACCCAGTATCCTCTAGACTCCACCCACTGTGCCTTTTCCCTTTATTGACCCTGCATTGTACTCATTTGTTGTAATAAGTTGTAGCAGTGTGTATAATAACATTATTTTTTTTTTTTTTGAGATGAAGTCTCGCCGTGTTCCCCAGGCTAGAGTGCAGTGGTGTGAACTTGGCTCACTTCAACCTCCACCTCCCAGGTTCAAGTAATGCTCCTGCCTCAGGCTCCCAAGTAGCTGGGACAACAGGCGCACACCACCACACCCAGCTAATTTTTGTATTTTTGGTAGATATAGAGTTTTACCATATTGGCTAGGGTGGTCTTGAACTCCTGATCTTAGGTGATCCTCCCACCTTGGCCTCCCAAAATGCTGGGATTACAGGCGTGAGCCACTGCACCCGGCCCTAGAATAACTTTTGAGGCCCATAAATGCTTCTGGTGAATTGCAGAGCCTGGGGGCAGTCTTACAGACCACTGATACACCTAAAAAACTATGTAGACACTTGCTTTTTGATTTAGCAATCCCACTTTGGGAATTTACCCTGGAAATACACTTCCGACAGTAAGAAAATACATATGTACAAGGTTATTCACACTGCAGCATTGATTGTATTGCAAAATATTGGGAAAAAACTAAATATCCATATACATAGGAGACTGGCTGAATAAATAGTGGTATAGCCACTCAGTGCAATACAAGAACTGGCGTGGTGCCTCACACCTGTAATCCCGGCACTTTGGGAGGCTGAGGCAAGAGGATTGCTTGAGCCCAGGAGTTCAACACCAGCCTGGTCAACAAAATAAGGCCCCATCTCTACAAAACACAAAATAATTAACCAGGTGTAGTGATGCATGCTGTTAGTCCCAGCTACATGGGAGACTAAAACAGGAGGGTCACTTGAGCCCAGGAGATTGAAGCTGCCATAAGCTATGAATGCTCCACTGCACTCCAGCCTGGGTAACAGGGTAAGACCATCTCAAAAATAAAAAAGTGACATTATGCAACTGTAAAAAAGAATTAGGAAAATGTCTATTCATTGATATGGAATGATTTCCAGACCATATTGGTAAGTGAAGAAAGCAAAATGCTTGAGTATCTCTAGTAAGCTGCTCTTCATGTAATAAAAGGGGATATAAGAATATACATGTATTGCTCATTTGTGAAAAAAATACAGAACAAGTCACAAACTAATGAGACTAATTACCTCTGAGGGTGAGTGGGTGGGAATGGGTGAAAAGAATGAGGGAACGGAATGGGATAGACAGGATGGGAGGGGAGGGACCATTCTCTGAGTATAGCTTTTTGTGTAATTCTGATTTTACAACCTTAGTAAGGTTTCACATACACCCCATCCCCAAATAGGCAATTAAAACCAACCTGTACAAAGAAGTAATCCAATAGCAGCAAATAAACCTAATGTGATACAAATAAACATCATAACTGCATTAAAGAGGATGGGGAAGAAAAGGACTAATCTAAGTAACCTAAAAATAGCATATTGACTACATATTGTAAAGCTAAAGATGAAAAGAACTGTACACAAATATTGTTATCCTAGTT